CAGGAATACACTTAATTCATACAAGACCGTAATTCATTATTTTTTGAGTGAAAAGACCTTCTTTTTCCTCTCTCGAGCACAGTCTCAGAGCAGCACGATTCAACTGCCAGTGTGAACTGTTGGTGTTACTGTCATATCCTCTTTGTTTATAGAATATTTTATTTAAAGCAAGATTATACAAAATGATTCTCTGCTAGAAGTTACACCTCTGGAATCTAAAAGCAATCTAAGTTGGCACACGTCCACAGGCTGAGGCTACACTGGTAGGACTTAGACATTTGAGTATCATCTCCCCACGTAATCTAAACCAAGTTATCAAAATTATATTAAGTAAATACATTTTGAGGAATAGTAAACTTTTGAAAAAATCCTTAGAATATTCAAAGTAGAGTTCTGGAAGTAGCAGTAGTGGGCTAGAGAAAAAAAAAACATAACCACCAAGACACACACCTCTCTTTAAATACTCTCCATGGCCTTGAACTCGCTGAGGGCCTGCACTGGGCTCACGTGTTTCTTCTGGGATGCTCTCTTGATTTTCGTTTGGGTTTCGTCTTGTTTCTCCCTCTTGACCAGAGGTTTCTTCTCTGGAGCCTTCATCTTCCAGGAGACGGCGGGCAGGTTGAGGGAGGCCATGCCCTGGGACTTCTGGTACTTGGTGGATGCCACGTAGGAAGCCTTCACGGTTTGCACCACCGCATTCATCAGGTTCTTGGCTGCTTGGATGAGGGACATGGCACTATCCACCTGCCAAACCAGGACACATGTTATAGGCTGGAAAACCCACACCGTATTCCAGAAGACATGAAATCCCTGGGGTGTAAAAACACTCAAAACCTGATTTTTCTGGGTTTTATGGGATCTGAGGTTCCAAATCCAAGGCAATATTTCTCCTTGGACACGAAAAACCTGACTTGTGCCACCAAAAAAAACCCCAACAAACCATTGTTTGCCCATGATCTGTGCCTGTTCCATATTAATGACAATTTGAAGTATTTGTATGCTGCTGTTTGCTTTTGTGACTAAGCTTTAACAGTAGCTTATCCTCTAATGAAATATCCTAAAGCTGTAATAATATCTTAATCACTGATAATAAATATTTAAACCAGTTTAGAATATTAAGTTGCATTGGAAAGGAAGGAGCACAACTGCATCTGCAGCCAGGCCTGAGCCCTTCCCCAGGTGGTTCCTGATTTACAAGAGCATTATAATGAGAAAAAGAAATGCATTTAGCACATGGCAGAGGTGAAGAGGCACAGATGGGGCAGGGTGGAAGAAAAGGCAGGGGGCCCCTAAGGTGGCCTCAGCTGGGACCCCAGTTCTCTGGGTTCCAGTGCCCTGCTCCAGGTGGGACCCTGGCTTGTGGATCTGGTCAGGATTTCTGCATCTCTGCTAAGATCAGCTGCCTCCTCACACTTAAATCCCAGAGTTGTGGACATCTAAGGAAGGTTTTGGGAAAAACCTTGAAGCCACTGTTTCTCTAGCAGCACAAGAAGAGGAGCAGGAGGCTGGTTGCTCTCATGGTGCTGGTGGCTTCCTCTCCATCACACTGGGCTTTCAGTACCACACAGCAGGTTGGATCTGCCCCCACAGCAAACCAGTGTCATCTGCTTTCCCCACCCTAGTCATCACGCTGGAAAACACCTTCTTTGCATTTCACTGTTTCCATGAATCTTCACAGCAGGAAGAACCATGTGAAATGCAATGAAAGCAAGGAAGCACTTTCCCAAATGAGCTGCCAGATTGCTTAGGGTGCAAGCTCTTACTGCCTCCCTGCCTGCTCTGCTGTCACAAAACTCCTGCACCACATGGCTGGGCACATGTTAAAGGCAGTTTTACTTTTAGGTGAAGTCCCTCGACTGGCAGAGGTCTTCATCTGATAATCTGGTAGCAGCTGAACAGCAGTACTGGCAGCATTCAGCCCCAGTGGACAGACCCATGGAGAACAGCTAAAAGCACGAGATGAGGACCACAGATGCCAGCCTGTTCATATAACTGATTTCTGGCAGTAGGGTGTGTAAATTCTGAAGACACAATAACTGCGGTAAAACTCCGGAGTACATATCATTGCAGACTGACACCTCTACTCCTCTGACACCATGATGCCTCTAGCCTGCCAGCTACCAGGACATCAGGGACACAGCAACATGTTTCAGTCCATCTCATCCCTGGGCTCTGCTGGGCTGGACACAGGAGCCCGTGGAGCTGGGAGCAGCAGGAGGGGCAGCAGAGGAGCCTATCTCCCTGCCGAGGGGCTGAGCAAGTGTGGGCCGTCACCACCACCACTGCAGACCTTCCTGTGCTGGTGCTGGCCCAAAGCACCCCCTCTACAATCCTAGCTTGTCTTGGGATGGGGGAAGATGTGCTGATACATCTAAGCATTTGAAAGATCTAAATGGAAGAAGGTGGTAAGGTTTTTTGCCATTCGCTTTTAAGGATTCAGATGGCCATGCTGGACTACCAGCCATTTCTGTCCCTTCAAACCTCCTGCCTCACTCATGACTTGGATGGGTAAAAGCACCAGTGATCAAACGTACCTGGCAAGGAAGAGGCCAGAAGGAACTAAGAATTTAGCTTTACTTCCCTACCCCCAAATACAGTGTCACATGGATTCCTCCTAGGAGGAAGCATTTCATGAGCCACAGAGAAAAAATTATTTGCTAAGTAACGTCTGCCTTAGGGGAGCAGGCTGGCCTGGGGCAGCTTTCAGCTGTCATAAACGAGAGCAGCCAGTAAAAGTCCCTGAAATCTTCAGGGCACAGCTATTCTGAAAACACTAACAGCTCTGGAGGCACTGCAAGAACCCCACATGTTCCAAGGCTGTGTCGAGACATGGGGTAGGTTTAGCTGTGCTGTTTCAAGTGATTTCACCTCACTAAGAGGGAAAAGCAGCCTGGCAAAACAGTAGGTTACACAGAGGTGAAGTAAGTCCATCTACAAACATGGCTGAGTAAGGCAAAGTGACATCTCTCTTTTGCTTCCTTTCAAACAACAGACATTTCCTCCAAGAACACCAAGGCTGCAAGGCAGTGTTACAACCTTTACATGCATTAAAACTTGGACTGGATGCTCCAAAACCTCCTGTTCTGCAATGTTCAGCATCAAAGCTTACCTTGGAATAATTGTTACCTCTGAAGAGAAAACCAGCCCGGACCGGACGTACGTACCCCAGACACAACCAGCTCTCCGCCGAGGTTCTGCACTTCAGCCTTCACTTTGCTGCAGATGTTCAGCTGGTGGCAGTAGAGGGCGATGCGCTGCAGGTAGGCCAGGAGGTCCTGTTTGCACGCGGAGTCCGGGCACTGGGGAAAACAAAGGAGAAATTTGACTTGGCAGTCACCAGAACTGGAACGGAAACGGTTTAGGGGAAAAAGCAGGTGACTCGGCTCTATAACAGCGAGTGTGTTCCAGGGATCAACCTCTTCCTCGGGAGCTTTGGTTTCCCAAAGACAACTGGGCAGTACATGAGCATCACTGAAGACATATAAAAAGCCAGAAGCAATAGACATGGGCTATCAAAACATGGGGGAAAAATGGCTGGGATCCTTCCAGCTGCACAGCTGCCCGTGAGCTCCTGGCCAGGAGGAGGAGAAGGGGAAGAAGAAGGCTACCCAACCTTTCCAGAGCAGGCTTGTTGCCTACCCAAGGTCCTTCCTGCATGCTGTACAGGACAAAGCAGCAAGGATTTGCCATCCAAACTCTCAAGTTGCAACTAGCTGATGTTACAAAATCCAGCCTCAGTTCCCCATTTAAGCATTCCTAGCATTTTAAGCTAGGAAATTATAAACCCAACAACTACTCAATTATACCCAGCAAAACAGATATTTTCCTGACTTCTGCTCCCATTCCTTAGCAGCGCAAAAACGAGATTCCTCACCAGGCAGGAAAGAAACTGTTTAAAGTGCCTGCTGGAGCACTCATCTGGAAGATAAAAGTAACTTTTTCAGCTTTGCAACTGAAAGAACAGGCAGGTTCGCAAGCCCGGGGTGCTGCTTCCTCGGGCTTTCCCATGCCTGGCAGAGCTGAGTGAGGAGATTATTAATGAACCAGCCCCATGCTGGATTTCAGAACAGGAGGAGTCTGCTGAGGGGCAGTCACAGTCCAGAATGGGAGCTACAGTGTAAGACAAAAGGCTATGGGAAGCCTTTTACCACTGATGCCAGTCCTGCAGTGTCTTCAGAAGGGCAGTGAGCACGGCGGCCAGCGCGGCCTCCCCGGAGAACCACGGCCTGGTTCACATCTCCTGGCCAGCTCTGGCTGCACGGGCCAGCGAATGCAGCAGCTGGCACACACTGAGCTCCACAAACCCTCTTCCACCAGCATCTCTTAAGGAAGACAGCCAGGGGCATGTGTGCCACACAGAGGCAGGGCACTGAGGGCCCCACAAAACATAACATCATAGAATGTCTTGGGTTGGAAGGGACCTCTAAAGATCACCCAGTCCAAACCCTCTACAGTAAGCATGGACATCTCACACTAGAACAGATTGCTCAGAGCCCCATAAGCCTGACCTGGAACATCTCCAGGGATAGGGCCTCCACCACCTCTCTAGGTAACCTGTTCCATCTACCACTCTCAGATTAAAGAACTTTTTTCCTAATGTCCAACCTAAATCCACCCTTTCTAGCTTAAAACTATCACCCCTTGTCCTACCATTACATGCCCTTGTGAACAGCTCTTCCCCACCCTTCTTATGGGACCCATGCAGGCAGTAGAAGGTCACTAGAAGGTCTCCTTGGACTCCTCTTCAGGCTGAACAACCCCAGCTCTCCCAGCCTGTCTTCATAAGACATCTCATGACTGGGTCACTACTGGGGCCACCAAGCAGCTCTGGCCTCCAATTGTCACTGGTCATGCTGCAAGCAGTGCCCAGGATGTGACCTTTCTAAACCAGGCTGGATGTAGTCATGACAGTAGAAGCTATAGGGACGATGCTGGGGATATTAAAGTGCAACAGGTCATGCTCTGGTAGACCAAAGACAGATGGAAGGCAGAGCCTACATTGATCTTCATCCTCCCCAGATGGCTGCAGCCCACCCAGAAACTCCTTACAGCCCCAGGGCCCTGGCACACACACAGTCCCCATCACAAAACTCAGGCTTTCCAGCACCACTACCTCCTCTCCCCCTGCAAAATCTAAACCCTCTCCATGGTCCCTCAGCTTAGCTGACCCTGTGGTCACCCCACAGGCAGTGTGTCACCTGCAGGTCTGCCTGACCAGCCAGGCACTGGCTGCCTCCAGACAAGCCCCCAACACTCCCCAGAAAACACAAGGAAGGGACCTCTAAAGATCACCCAGTCCAAACCCTCTACAGTAAGCATGGACATCTCACACTAGAACAGATTGCTCAGAGCCCCATAAGCCTGACCTGGAACATCTCCAGGGATAGGGCCTCCACCACCTCTCTAGGTAACCTGTTCCATCTACCACTCTCAGATTAAAGAACTTTTTTCCTAATGTCCAACCTAAATCCACCCTTTCTAGCTTAAAACTATCACCCCTTGTCCTACCATTACATGCCCTTGTGAACAGCTCTTCCCCACCCTTCTTATGGGACCCATGCAGGCAGTAGAAGGTCACTAGAAGGTCTCCTTGGACTCCTCTTCAGGCTGAACAACCCCAGCTCTCCCAGCCTGTCTTCATAAGACATCTCATGACTGGGTCACTACTGGGGCCACCAAGCAGCTCTGGCCTCCAATTGTCACTGGTCATGCTGCAAGCAGTGCCCAGGATGTGACCTTTCTAAACCAGGCTGGATGTAGTCATGACAGTAGAAGCTATAGGGACGATGCTGGGGATATTAAAGTGCAACAGGTCATGCTCTGGTAGACCAAAGACAGATGGAAGGCAGAGCCTACATTGATCTTCATCCTCCCCAGATGGCTGCAGCCCACCCAGAAACTCCTTACAGCCCCAGGGCCCTGGCACACACACAGTCCCCATCACAAAACTCAGGCTTTCCAGCACCACTACCTCCTCTCCCCCTGCAAAATCTAAACCCTCTCCATGGTCCCTCAGCTTAGCTGACCCTGTGGTCACCCCACAGGCAGTGTGTCACCTGCCGGTCTGCCTGACCAGCCAGGCACTGGCTGCCTCCAGACAAGCCCCCAACACTCCCCAGAAACCACAAGCAGCCACTGTGATTTACCCATGTTAAATGTGACAACGAGATAAGAGTCTCACTCTCAGCAGCATTTGCTCCTCATCCACACCTGCTCACTTTTCCCACCAACCAGACCCTGCTGGGATTCAGGGAGCTGCACAATCTATGAGAGCTCTTGTCCACACACCTGTTAGCAGCAAAATCCCACCTCATCTTCTGCCCTTATCCTGGACGACAGGCCATCAAATGAAGATTCATAATGGACACAGTATGCTTGGAAGAACAACCTTTCAAATGTGGCACCAATTTACTACCTAAAGCTGCACTGAAGCTCAGGTTGATTGCTCACAGTCACACTGCCTCTCCTCTCCTTTCAGAGCAATGCAAAAATCCCCTCGTGGGTGTCAGCACTGGGGGCTGAGCCCTAATTCCCATTGCAGACCTTCTCTCCTTAGCTGCAAGACAGAAGCTGGAACCAAAGCTTTCCTGTACATAAAAGGCACAAAAGGAGACCGCATCAGAAGAGATCATGGTGTTGCACAAGCAGGGGTGTGCAAACGGGGTCACATCCACATGGAGCATTTGCTCCCCACAGCAGGCACTGATCTGCCAGAACAGAGGTGTAACTCTGAAGGGAAGGTGAGTGGAGCTAATAAATACACTTGTTTTTTCTGCTGTGGGCTGAGGCAACACACAGACACACACTGTGTGCCACAAGGGGATTTTTGGCACATGGGGCTGTGGAACCCAGGCTGTGGAGATCTGGATGGCTTTATAGTCATCTGATCTTGTGTGTCTGTAACCCAACAGAAATTATCTTCTCAGTCCTGAGGAAGGCAATGGAACACCCGAAGTACCTGCACGTTGGTTCCATCAGTGAAGTGGAAACCATGAATACCAAAGCAGCAAAGCTTGCACGTTAATTTTTTAAGCTAGTCAATATTAGTCACCAGTACAAGATGTTTTAAAGAAAGTCCACAAATAGCATCGGCCAAAGAGCTAATGACAAGCTGAAATTACCATTTTGGAAAACACTCTCCATCTCCCAGACAGCTCACCTGAGAAAGCAACGAGCAGCAGATTGAATTGAAGGTTGACAAATGCAGAACACAGCCCATCAGAAGGTCTGCTGAACAGCCCAGGTGCTTTACAGGGTCTGAGTTCATGGAGAACATTTCAGGAAAGACACTCTCAAGGAAAGAGGCTGCTGGATGTTTAGCAATGGGTGAAGGAGGCAGAAAAACATCAGTGGGGGAAGCAGTGGAACGGGAAATATTTGGTTGTATACAGCAGTATGACCGGAGTTGGAAAACCACATCCCATAGTGTGAACCCTATTTCTACAAGCAGATCAGAGAATTCAGTTCAAAGACAGATGATGGTAGAAAAGACGTAACACAAGAGATAAAAGAACATTGACAAAAGGCACTGCAGATGCCTGGATAAGCCATGTCTTCTCCTATGCAGGAACGCACAGATAAAAACAAAGAAACCCAAAAGGCAACAATTCCAACACTGATTAAGAGAGATTACATCATTGTATCAACCTGCAGCAGCCATAGACACCAACCATAGAACCAACCCATCTGCAGAGCTAGCTTGGGAGGATTCCCACAACAGGGTCACAGCAGATAGCTGCACTGTAGATAGAAACAGATGTGTATTGGGGGACATCCCCACCTTCCCAACCCCCCAGATGAGATACTCAGTGGTGCTTGTAGGCAAAAGCTAAGCTGGCTGCTCTACATCAAGCCCAGGATCCATCCCAGACAGAGCAACCCCACATGCACATTCACTTTCTCAGCCCCAGCTGAGCCTGCAGAGGAACAATCACCTTTTACTCCCTTTTTGCAAAGAAAAGGGGCAGGGAAAGACAGAAGAGCCCTCCCGCAGTATGTGCTGATTAAGACAAGCACACAACCCCCATCCCGACATGCCTGGTAGGTGTAAGCAAGCAACGAGAGAGACACTTCTTCCTCCCACTCCATCTCCAGTGTCAGGGGTGAGTGCTGCTCTAAGTCATTCACCTCAGCCCCATGGAACAGCTGGGCTCAGCACTGCTTGGCTACAGAAGCTGAAAGCTGACATTTAGGGGAAGCAGCTACTGTGGCAGGACAGGTACGTGGCATTGTGTGCCAGCAGCCACCACCCAGGACAGCTGTCACCCAGGACAGCTGCCATCCAGGACAGCCATCAGCCTCTGCACATCCCTGGACCAACCTCTACAGCACACCAAAAGCAGGAGCCTGCTGGAGCATTTTCCTAGGAAGCAGGGTAATCCCAACTCTTCCCTCCAGCTCCTTTCCATTTAATGATCAGATACTGATACAACCTCCCACCACTATCAAAGAGAAAAAAACAAACAAATTTTTCTTTTGCTCTGTAAGTATCTCAACATTGAAAAAAACAGTAATACTGTCTTGCTGCAAATAATTTCCATTTGTGTTCTACTCGTAACTTCTTCACATCCCCACTCTCAAGCAGGCTGCTGTTCTAAGTGAAAGATGGAACACCTCTGGGAAAGTTCACTGGCTGATGGCTAGACACTTTCCAACAGAGGTGAAATACCTTGGATTATTGCTTTTATGGTTTCAAAGGAAATGTGCTGTAAAACTGCCTGACAGCAGAAGTTAGGAGTTCCTGACACACTAACACAAGAGGTCATGATTCACCTGGCATCACATGGTGAAGAGGACATAAAACCCCATCCATTTGTTAGGCACAGGAAGTCATTAGTGCTCTGCCAAAATGGTTGTGTTGCACATCCTCTGTAAGTGTCAGATAGTTCCATATTGACAGATCACTACAAGTTGCTAAAGAGTATGTAAGCACATCTAATGAAATATGCAAGCTGAAAGTATTAGCAGAGTACAGCGCTGGGGAAAAAAAAAGCTATATTCTTGTCAAAATGACTAACTGTACAGTCGTGGTCTTATTTATCTTCAAACATGTACTTCATCTTTTACATTTTCAAGGACCTTACTTCTACTAAAAGGAGCTATTTAGTTTTCTTCTGTATTTTGAAATAACTCAAGAGCAGAAAACCATACACCAAGTTCGCATAAAACATATGAATTAAAAACCAAAAAAGATTGTAAACCTTCAGGCCAAGATCCCCCTGAGATCCAGAACACAAATTGCTCCTTGCTTCATCTACCTAAGGCAGCAGTGCACCTGATTCTTCCAGCAAAATGGTTGTCAAAACACCACAGCAAGGAGACCCATTTCAAAAAACACTTTTCAACTTTCTCTCCCCCTTGAACGTTTCTTGCTGCATCATTAATGAAACAGGGTGGAGACAACACCCTCTGTATGCATCATTTACAGAGAAATCTACACTACAAAGATGTACTTTCAAAAGTGACAGGGTTTTGTTTAAACCCTTGTGTTGTGAATTTACAATCAGAGAAGGACTGAAAAGAATGCAACAGCTGTACAAAATGAAGTTTCATCCATGAGCTCAGGCCTAACCTACCTGCATTTCAGGGTCTTTCTTGACAGCAGCACATTATTACTAATGCTGAGGTTTCTCTGCTGTGTGGGTGTGGACCAAGGCTGAAGGAGTTTTGGCCCAACCCAGTTTCTGGAGTGGCTGAGGACAGGCAGATGCATTGCATAAACCCCCAAGGTGGCCCATACTCCTTCAGTCCTATAGAAATCTATTAAACTACCTGTGTACATGGAGCACAACACCACCCACCTCAGCCTGGTACAGCACAGAAAATGCTTGGATCACTAAGTGTCTTGCTCCATCAACTCTGACTAGACCACACAAAAAAAATACTGGAGAGTTCTGACAATGTCACCCTTCAGTCTATGGGGCTTCTGAAAATTGTTAACATTAAAAAGCTGTCTCAAAAATAATAAGAAAGGTTGTGCAAGAGGCCACATGAAGTAATCGGTGTTGCCTATGCAGGCTCCTCATTGCTTTGGCAAGTACTGGGCACATTCTGAGGATGACAGAAGTGACACAAATCCAGTTTCAGTCCCGCTCAGTTAGAGAAACTGGTCTAGATCCTAGGTGACAGGGAGCAGTGCTGGCATACTGCTGCCTTCACATGGGAGGTGCTTGATTTAAGCCAAGAAGCAGCTGGTGTTACTGCTGGGCATGTTTAGCTGCTTAAGCTTCTTAGGGTGGCAGGAGAATAGCTAGAAAGAAAAGGCTAGAATTTTCCAGCAGTAAATCTGGCAAATCAGTTTAATAAAAGCCCCGAAACACGAGTGCTGGAAGCTTATGAAGATGAATTGTGACTTACGTGGTCAGCAATAGTCCGTCCCAGCTTGTCCATCCTTGACCCAGCCTCTGCAATCTTCTTGGCTGCACTAATCACATCTGATGTATTTTTCAGTGGACCTTTACCTCTGCCAAACAGAACAGAGTCTACCTTTTACACCAGAAAACCAGCAGAGTGAACTATATATTGCTTCACTGATCCTGGTCTGTATAGTACTGGAAGAGATTCCTCATCCAACCTCCTTGGATAAGGTTGCACAGAAATAGGCAGGTGTACCCATTACAGTACCTTCAGTTCCAAGGCAGTCTCCCCCTTCCAGCCCCTCCCCATATTTAAGTTAAATCTAGGAATAAAAACATCTTAAATTTTACAACAACCTCATGATGATAAGAGGAACATTTGAGAGGACAGATTTGCAATTTCCATGGAATGTAACGTCAAGTTTAAAAAAACTGTGTTGCATAAAATCTGGTAAATGAATTTCAAAAGGCATCAAAACCTCTTTCTTTCTTTTGCAAATAACTGTACTAGGAACTATTTCTGCAGCACAGCAATATCAAGAAGCCCATAGAATTTAATGTTGAAAGGAACCAAGCAAATTTTTTACACACACACACATATATTATTTTTTTTTATTATTTTTTTCCTTGGGACAAAAATCACCCTTAAGAAAGACAGGCAATAACTGCTGTGTATCTATAGATCAATTTAAACAGTTATTACCACCCAGTCACTGCATAGTAATGCGTCTCCCAAGCTAATATGCAGGCTTTAATAGGGTAACATTTAAAGGGAATTAAAGGTAGTAAGACTCTTAAGAGTACTTGCAAAATATTTCATTGAAAGATCAGCATCCCAGCCACTTCTGAAAGAAGGTTTTGTGTGCACAAATTACAAAGACTCACCTGGTGAAGTCTGTCATTTCCATCATAATCATACACATTTGTTTTGCCAGAACAATGATATCATTACCACTGTCATCCCATTTTGATACTTCAGCATCCAATTTACTCTTTTCTTCCTGGAAGCTTGCAACTTGCTCAGCAATCTTAGCTTTCTGCTCTTGAGGGAGCTGAGCCATGATAGCCTGAAAGAGAGAGTTTTCTCACATAGCTTTATGCCACCACTTGTAGGCTTTTTGGAATATTCCATTAATATCTAATTTAAGAAATGTAGATGGGGGGATAAAACAGAAATCCTCTACCTAGAGTTTTTACAGAACCATCTCCTTCCATTTTGAACCACATTCTATGCCCTGCCTTAAAAAAGTGCCCAGAAAGACAAGCTGGTGTCTGAAATATGGGCAGATGCGTGATAAATAATAGAATTAAAGACTGGTTTGGGTTGGAAGGTACATTAAAGATCACCCGGTTCCAACCCCATGCCATGGGCAGGGACACCTCCCACCAACCCAGGTTGCTCCAAGCCCCATCCAACCTGCCCTTCAACACTGCCAGGGATGGGGCAGCCACAGCTTCCCTGAGCAACCTGGCACAGTGTCTTTAAAATTTAAAGTTGTTAAAATTTTAAATTGTTTGACACTGAACAAATTTTCCAGATATCAACAACCATCAAAGTAAAAAAAACTGCACAGAGAGAAGGGCTTTGCCTTTTGTACAGAATTTAAGAGTTTTAAAAGGATGTTCCACTTTGGTACCTTTGAGTGTTGCAACGCACAGAAGAAATACTACAAGTCTGTTTCCTGCAAAAAGCTAGATGTACAGTGGACAATAAAGAGTGTGTGCTTACTCCTGAATAAAATCTACTAGCCTGGGTTTACAGCCTGTATGAGACTCAATGCCCTTGCCTTCATAAATACTAGGAGCATTCATGCCTCCAGGAGCTGGAGAAAAGTAGTCTACAGTTAAAAAAAAGCCTCCTAAAAGGTAAATTAGAAATGTCTCAATTTAAATAAAAGGGGAGAGAAGGATACAGGAATAGAAAGTGCCTGTAGAAGGAAGGAGGATATAAAAAATACTCTCAGTATAATTCCAAAGCCAACATGGCAGAAGTTTGATAAATAAGGCCCAGCTACTTCTTGCCTAGTTTCAAGCTAGATGAGCCTCTTACAAAAAATCTTTCATGGCACTTGCCCAAGAGTGTAAATTGTTATTGATCCAGAAGGGGACATGTGAAATAAAAACAATAGGTAAGGCCTATTTTCCTTCAGTGTACCAGTTTTCAGTTTTCACCTATTAATGATTATATATTGTCTATCAATGCTTTCATTTTTAACAGTCATGGGAAATGCAATTGGTTTAAATTATTTTATTTTTGAGCTCAATATTGCCTTGATTAAATGCTCAGAAGCCAAACACACACCAACAGGTACATAAGGAGACATTTTGTACTAAATGCCTGAGCTGCAGGATGATTTAATCCTTGCCCACAAACTTAGTCTTTGCATGTTGAAAATAACATTAGTACAAGGTAATTATTTGCCCTTTATCTCCCTGCTCACCTGCCTAACTAAATGTCTGTGTCTACAATGTCTGGAATGTCAAAGTATGAAGGAGTTCATTAGTATTGAAAGGGCTTTGATCTTTCAGAGCATTGAAAATAAACCACAGAGGTTTCTATCATCCGTCAGACCAACCCAGGCTACATTTCACTCAACCTCCTTTTCAGAAGAAAACTGGAAACCAAGAACACCACTTTTCTGATCCTGCTGCCACCCCCAAAAATGCAACCTGAATTTTCAAAGCAAGTTGAACAGTTCCCTGAAGGTTCCATAATTCTGTAATACTCAGATTCCCTCCTTACCCTTGCACTTTGTCCAGCAATGAGCTGATCATCTTCAGTCTGAATACTTGTCCTGCTTCGGACATCAAAGTCCTCAGTCTCAAAGTCAGAATCATCCAGCTCCTCAGGAGTCTGAGGAAAGAGTAATTCAGTCAAACAACAGATTTCATAGTTCTAAAAATCAACAAGAATATTGTTTTTCACACAGAATGGAAAAAAGTGAAGGTAAAAATTACTCAATGTTTTCAACAAAAAGGTAAATACAGGGACTGTATCCAGTGTGATTATATATGTGATTATATATGCTTGGCTGCTCAAGTTAAACACCATGGGGATCCCCAGAACTACACACCAGCACCTAAACATCTGCCATTCGTCAGGACACCAATGCACTCAGGATGTGAAAGAGGGGAAAAAAAGTTAACAAAATGAACAGGATCATTTGCAACTCAGTAAAAATGTAAAAGCTTCACTTGAGGTTCTGGAGCTAAAATTACACACAGCTTAAAGGCCTGGTTGAAAAACCACAGACGTCATCTTTAGCACAATTATGAATCAAAGCACTGATTAAATTAACAACAGATAAAATAGATCAAAATTTATTCTTAACCCCCAGGAAAAGCTGAAATTTTTTAGCAAGTAAGGAAGGGCCAGCTTTTGTGCTGTAGGCTAAACACATCTGACCCAGTTCCTGCTTGCCTAGGATTTATTTTTGCTACTGCCAGTCTGTAGCTGGCAAACTTGTTATAAAGCTTATCAAGTTTAAATAGTATGTTTGTCAAAATACTACATCTTTGCCTCGAGTGGCACTTCATGACAATTTTGCAGAGCTGGATCAACAAAGAACTTCACCGATAAATTCAATAAATTGTGATTAACAGATAAGGAGCAAATAAAATCCCTGTTCTTCACATTGCCTTCCTCTGATTTGTATTTTACCAACTTGTTTTCCAATACAGACATTGTGTGATACAGCTAAAATAAAGATGGATATGCAAAACAGTTGCCAAACAGCCAAGGTGAGTATGCTGACAATCAAGCCACCATCTCCTCTCTGTGCCTTGAAGAACAGTGTAAGCATAAAATCAACATAAGGACATACACTAACAAGTAGCTCAGTGTATCAATACTTTAAGAATCAAAAAAATAAAGAAAACAGTTATGTTGCATCTTTAGAAATGGCTGCTCAAATCCACTTCTCTGCCCATCCATCCCAAAGCCCAAACAACCTGAGTCACACAAGGTGTAATTCTCCCTTTCAGTCTGTCATCAAGAGCAAAAACTCCTCTGGGGGGATGGAGGGGAGAGATGCCTGGGGAGCAGGGAGGAAAGAGCTTTACTTCAATACAGATAGGGTGAGGTTTTAGTTTTGAAAATACAAAAGTGAGTTGTCTGAGTGACTTTTCCTTCTGGTTCCTCTAAAGAACAAGTGCCACCTGAGCAAGTCTCAAGTGAATCAGCTCTTCTGCCCCAGCTGAGCTTAGCAGCATCCCTCTGCGAGCACCATTACTGGTCCAGTTGGAGTCAACGTGCCTGTGAACTGGTGGCCTGGCACCTCCATCAGGATGACTTTCTTATCCTACATACATTCCATACCTTACAGCCCTTTGGGCAACCAATTCTAACCTTTCAATTTTTTATAGTTGGCCCCTGTCAGCCATGAGCTGCTGGAGCTGCAGCAGAGCTGTGGCACCCTGACCCCAGTGAGACAGTGCAAGGGGAACCCTCAGCATTCCTGGCACTGCCAGCTCAGCTAATTATTGCCAATGTGGAGCTGGCAGTCATGCTTCCCTGCCCTGAATAACAAGGGCTTTAGCAGGGGGTGAATCAAATTAGTTTGTCTGCATAGCAGGAAAGCACTGATATCTTCATCTACCATTGGTTGTCTATCAATCCTGAGCTTGGAAAAAGATGCTGGGGAGAGCACATATGTGCTTGTCAGCTTTCCTTCTGATTTTCCATTTGATTCTGTGCTTTAGGCAGCAGTCACAGAAGATACTATTGCAATGGTTACTATAATCACATATATTCTGGGTCTGTATGTCCTTAATTTACTTATCACCAAAATGCATCTGCTATGGTTACCATTCTGGAAGAAAAACTTTCTTTGCAAGGCATTTATTTGAGTCAGAGGGGTACAAAGAAAAAAGGAAAGAAAGGAATAAAACCCCTATGTGTGTTTTTGCTGTGACTGGCTCCTGACCATTTTTACCACACTCAGACTCAAGAAATAAGCCCATAGATCAGTCTGAACCAGAACTTTCTTTTCTACCTTCCTTCAGGCAGACACAGGAGCTCTCTTTGCCTTCCCTGCACACCTCCTTCCACACTAAAGAAGCCTGACCTACCAGGAATTAGGGCCTCCAAGTCCAAGGCCCTGCACCTGAACCATGCAAGCATTGGAGAGACAAAGTCCCTATGAACTGGTCCCTGTTTACTGAGGTTAGCCAATTAATGAATTACATGCTCTAGTGACTACAGACTGAACTAATCTAAACCTGTTTTTTACTAACCTGCATTAATTCTCAAAATTTGCTTAACAAAGAGCCATCAGGTTTTATTTCTAAGCTCTCAAACCATCAAAAAACATCCACTTGCTGTTGTTAAATCAAAGGTCACTGGTTTTAGCACATTAACATTAATGAGCAAGGCACTAACATGATATTACAAAAGATGTGTGAAGGGTATTTAGCATCACAACTCTGGCTATCATTGATGCTCAGATCTGTTTAATGAATTTGAATAAAAACGTACTTCTGATGTACTCCGCAGAGTGATTAGCCATTTTGAAGACTCAGAATGCTAATCTGAGCTAAAGGGAAATCTGAGGCTGCCTGCTCCCAGTGCAGCTCATGTCAGTTCAGCAGAGGTGGGGGCAGACAAGCAGAAAGCTGCTTCAGCTGAGCTCACCCTGATCATCAGCACGGCCTTCCTGATGTCTCGTATTCCATCGTACACCAGTCGGGATGCATCAATAAATTCATTTTCATCCATTGGCTGGGCAGGGTCTGAACTCAAGGCTTCCACAGCAGCTTCTACTTGTTCAGTAAACCGTGGCATAACTGAAGTAAGAACACAAAGTAACAGTCAGGCCCCACCCCACTGCCATTTTCTGCTACATGCTCCCATAAAAAAGATGTATCTCCTTTGTTAACCATCACTGAGAGTGCTGTGGTTCCATTGAAATACAGAACATTTCTGATAGAAGGACACCAAGCTCAAGTCTTATGTTCACCTCAACTTCTGTTTACTCATTTGCTATTTGTTTTTTTTTACCCTTAGACAGTGAAAAGTTTATTGCACCCTCCTCGTGGAGAAGGAAAAAAACACCCAGGGAAGCAAATAGAAATTATGGGATAAAATATTAATATTCGAAAATATAATAAGAATAATAAAATAGTAATGTTTAACATTCACTATAGATGCACATAATTTTTCGGGGGAAAAAACCCACCGATATTACTACCACAAAGTTCAAGTTTAACCAGGCAGTGGAAGAGGGCAGGTTGCACTGCTGTGCTTTAGTGACTCACTGCACCCCAGGAAGAACATCACAGACCCATTTACAGTCTGTTTCTTCAGTGTCACCCTTGATTCTTCAGCAAAGTTGTAATTAAAGCAAAAACAACAAATAATAGCTAGCACAGCACTCATTCAAGCAGAATCATTCCTTACCCTATATGGATGTCACCAGCTAGCTCACAGGAAACACTCTGATTCACTGTTTAGGGGTGGGTCACTATAACCTACAACATTTATTTAACTAGTTATAAAGATATTTTACAAAATATACCCTAAATTACTACAGAGAATTTATTTCACTGGGTCAGTGTGGCAGAAACCTTCTGCCTGGATCCTGAACAGATAGAGCCTGGTAGTGGATGATCAGCATAACTTCCACACCCTGACTCACTGCGTGGGACTCACTCCCTGGTGTCACAGCTTTCTCCAGCTCAGCCACTGACAGCAAACACATTCAGGGAGACCTTGTGCACTGTTGAGTTTTAAGTCAGTCAACACAGCAAAATTACATTTCTCACTTTGCAAGAGCTAAGCAAATAACTGCTACTAATTTCCACTACAGCATGTAAAACAGAGACTTTATAATAGATTTCACAGGTACACTAGTATTGGGTCAGCCAAGCCCTTGTAAGCAGTATGAACTCAGGGATCTTGGGAGTACTCAACTCTTACCTGTGTTGGACAGTAACTTTGTGGCTTCCAACACCTTCTCAGTGTAGACTCCAGGCTCGTAGTTATCCATTTCAGAAGTGACAACATGAATGACTCTAGCAGCACGTCCTCGAATTGCACCAGCTGTGCGGTCTAAACCATCAACATCTTTTTCTTGGAGAGCAATGACACATTTGTTTACATCTTCTAAAATATGATTCTCTGGTGGTAAAAGAAGGAGGATTTAGATGTTAATATCTTCTTTCTGTTGCAGTCATCAGAATTGCAATGTCTGTTTGTGATCTGCTCTACAAAGCTCTAGTGAGATGCTGTAAAGCATTAATTTTTAAGCTTGCTGTGACCAGCAAACAGCTGCCCTTCCAAACCAGACGTCAAAAAAAAAACATTCACTTGCTGGCATCCAACTTTCTTGCCCCCATCTAGTCAATTTTACCCAACAGAAAAGCTGAGTTCAGCTGGATTCTCCCCAAACGTGTTCCTTTCCATCATCTTTCCCTGGACTGTCCAAGCCCTTATTCCAAACACTTAAAAGCCACTCCCTCATCATTCCACGTGTGTGGGGCAATGAGGCACCCTCCCCAACACCACACCTCATCCATCCAGTGTCTTCATAGACAGGTCCCTTGCTGCATGTTTTTGGCTTCCTACACAGTGTTTTCCTACAACCACACATGTACCATCAGAGAGTATTAAACTGTTGGGCCTCCTTTCCAACCTAAGGCACAAAACACACACAGTCACTGTTGCAGGAAGTGTTCCAGCAACTGAGTACTCATCATCTCTTCAGAAAAAAAAATAAAGCCAAGGCCTCTGTTTGCAATTTCTTTCTAGAACACAAATTTTTGTTTTTATACAGAGGTATTTTCCCCCACTTATCAAGCCCAGGAGGCCCATAATGAGTAAAAATCCTGAAGAGGCGACTGAAAGAGGTGAGGATCCTCATTTGGGGGAACCAAAAGATCTTCCAAACCCTGATAGAAACCTCTTTAATATGTCAGTACCAACACTTTGACATTGCCATCCAACATCAGCATTTGGCCTGCTTGGTAAGAAACCAACTTGGAAATGTTTCTGCTCTGTCACTTAAATTAGTTTCCAGTATTACTTGCCATTGACTTCATCATGCTACCCTGCCAATCCACACCACTGAAGTGGCTTTTATTCCCTGTGCAGGTAGTAAAAGAGCCATTTTGCAAGAGTTTGTAGAGACAAGAAGCACATAGAGTTGACTGATAGAGAATTTGTATAAACGGGCTGAAAAGATTGCTGCTGGAAGAGCTACACTTAATTAACATAAAATTAACAGAGCCAGGTTCAATATTGTGAAACTTCTGTAAGAAGCCTGGGCAAAAAAAATACACTTGTGCAACACCTCTGAAGCAACTCAGCTTGAACAAGTTCAGCTGAGGGCAGAATGTGGCCCCAAGAGGGAAAAGCACAGGTTCATTAGTGATTTGACAAGTCAGTGAGCAGGCAGCCAAGGTACCAGAGCTTCACGGAGAAGCAGAGTGTTGGTATTTAAAGCAAGAGACAGATATCCCTGCAGGTTGCAACAGGAAAAAGAAAAGCACCGGCATCAGGCCAAAATACAGGCTGTTTATTGCTTGAGTTCCTTAACGAATAAATTAAGCCACAGACAATTTAAAAGCCTCTTTGGATTATATGAAATTTGATAAAAGCCATGGAGAAAATGAGGATTAATATTTAAATGCCTGCCCATCATTTAATGCCCTTTGCAGATGCCAAGTTGCCAGCAAGATGCTTCTATGGAAAGATAATCCCTCACAAGGCAGTCTGGGACTGTCAGGTGGATCCACTCCGGTTATACTCTCCAGCTGGATGATAAGAAATCAGATTTGACATTGTTCTGTGTGCTTGTGTATACACACACTGCTACCTGTCCTACAGGCATACAGACCACAAGTGTCTGGCACAAAATGGCATCTGCTGAGGCCAGGGTGGCAGAGGCCAAGAAATGCTGAGACACAGGTTCACCAGCACCTTTGGGGACACGACAATGCTGTCCTGTATCTAAGATAACAGACTCCCTGGGGCTGAACTGGAGACAAATCTCACAGCAATTGAACATAACAGAATGTAACACAGGAAAGGGCAACAAATCTTGTGGGTTTTTTTCCCCTATAGAGAAAAAATGGTGTGGTTTGGCAACAAGGTAAGAGGAAAGACATTTTTTCCAGTGAAAATTATTTCTAGAGCAAACAAGGAAATAATAAAAGCTAAGAGAATTCAAAGTGCTCCACAACTGTCAATCCATCCCCACGAAACACCTTCCACCTCCACCCACTTCCCCATTAAAGGGATAAAGCAATAATCTTCCAAACATCCCCAGAAGTCTGCAAGGGAGTCTGGGGGCTACAGGAGATCGAAACCTAAGAGCAACAGCCAGGAGATAAAACCACAGATGCACAAATAAAACTCTGCTTCTCTGCTGTGTCCCCTGTGGAAGGTCTTAGAGCAATTTCCACACTGCAGTCTCTTGACAATGGACACTGGAGGAGTCAGGTCAAGCAGCAGTGTCAGTAGACATAGTTATAGAACAAATACTGGAGTGTTCACACACTCCTCAGCACAGCATTCATCTAGTAATGAAGAAGGATAATCATCAGGCCCAGGCAATATTCATCTGGAAGCTCTTCAGATGAAATAGCTGTGCTATGATGGGCAGGCTCTTGCATAAACCTCTGTCTGCAGCAGAGGAACAGAAAGGAGCAACTGGAATTACTTTTTTAGAGGATTTCAAAGGAGATCCAGGTAATTTTAGAACACTGAATTTGACAATTACATGGTGCTATCAGCAACTGCTCTATAGAACAAAGATAGTGGGCACATAAACACACCTTGAGTGCTTAAGGGAAGGCACTGACAAGAGGGATAAGAATTACACAAAGTACAGAAAAGCTCTGAAATGAGGAATAATGAAACAGACAAAGACACTGCAGTCAAAAAAGAGATGACTGAGTAAGCATACAACAGAAGTCTGTACATTTCCAAACAGCACGAAGAAAGCAAATAGGGGAAAAAACCTCTTTGCTGTCTTCTGCTACAATGAGGGGCATCAAATGAAAGAAGCAGGTGACATTGCAGGAAACAGGAGGCTCCTCATACTGAGCTGTGATTTTTGAGCAGGATGCTGGAGATGCCAGAGCTTTATAATAGTTGAAAGAGCAACTAACACAAGCTTAAATGAGAAAAAAATCTGTCAAGAGCTGTTCATTAGGTAGCACGTCCTATGCTGGAGCTCCCTGAGCTGCAGTCACTCCTGACTGGGAGTGCATAGGAATGATCTTCAGTCTACAGGGCTCTTCTGTTCTTTTATTAATCTCCCATGAACTGATAATTACCCACTGTCAGACTGTTGTCCTAACTCAACAGGGCCCTTTCTATGCTATGCCCTTCATAAAATGTTGTAACTTGTTGTTGTTGTCCCTACTCGTGCAGGGAGGTTGGATTTAGATGATCTTTAGAGTCCCTCCCTTCCAACCCAAACTGCTCTATGATTCCACTAGTGAGAGGACAAGAGGTAGTAGATTAAAACTGGAAGAGGGAACATTTAGGTGAGACAGTAGGAGAAAATTCTTCACTATGAGAGTGATGAGACACTGTCCCAGGATGCCTAGAGAAGCTGTGGCTGCCCCATCCCTGGAAGAGTTGAAGGGCAGGTTGGATGGGGCTTGGAGCAACCTGGGCTGGTGGGAGGTGTCCCTGCCCATGCAGGGGGTTGGAATTAGATGATCTTTAAGGTCCTTTCCAACCCAAACCATGCTATGATTCTATGAACTTATAAGCTTATCTGCAACACCATACATTTAAGTATCTGATTCTTGTAAGATATTCTGCTGTTCTCTAAACCAAACATCTCTTCCATCAAGCTTTCATCTTTATTTGTGCATAATGAATACAATTCTGTATCACAAGCTGAACAACAAAGCCTGTACCTCACTCTGGACAGCACAACCCACTGTAGGAATGTGGTATTTTTTTATATAAATATATATATATGTATGTATACACACACAGATCTATACAAACACACACAGACTCACAGGAGCACTCTTAATTCTGCTCACAGATCAGATGGCAGCTGATACAAACCCTACTCTGCACAAACATCCTAAGAACCCTGAAAGAAACCTGGTATAAATCATACCCATCACAGTTTTATCTGAAGAGTTGTTTAGACTTTCAGCAGAGAATTGGAGTCATGGCATTTATATGGAAAACATTTATCTAAGTTCAAACAAATCATATTTAAAGCAATATTTATTGCTTTAATATTTTTCTAACATCTCTGATAACCCAGGACATGCAAACAATTGCTGAATGCACTTGAGCATCTTAAGCAGTCTCAAAGTATGGCATGTCTGTGGCAACATTTTGGTGGTGAGCACACATTCAAGATGAGCCCTCTCCTGAGTCAACCTGTCACCACCCTCTTATTGCCAAGCCCTTAGAACTCTTCAGAGCACCTCAACAGTGGGCCAACACCACCACCTGTCCCCTCAGAGGCCAAGCACCCATCTCCTCGAATGACCTGTAAAAGGATGGAGACCACCCCATTCCAGTGGCTTGACACATTTTGAGCCACACCTGGAAGTGAAATGCAGTGAAGCAGCTTTGCACGGACTGTGTTTTCACAGACTAACAGCTTTTTCTCTTTCAAATGTTTCGAACATTTGTAGGCAAACTCAAAGTGGAGCTGTGAACTTCAGCACGCAATTCTTTCTAAATATATCTCCCCAGAAATAGGCTCCTCACAGCTGTGCAATTTCAACCACTGCTGCAACAACGATACAAAGAACTAGGACATTCAATTGACTAATAAGTTTATGCCCAATCATTGCAGAGAACATTTTCACTCAGAAGCCAGGGAATCACAATACAAGTATGATTGATAATACAGGTGACTCACCACAGAAAAATTACTTGGGTTTTTCTTGTTTGTTTTTTCTTTCTCTTTTTTATAATTTTTTTTTTTTAATATTAAAAAAAGGTGGTATTTTAATTTAAGCCGGCAAGTTTTTGTCTACATTTTCTAGACATGTTCACTTGGTACTTCTGATGCTACTCACCTTCCTGTGAAATCTCTTTTCATACAGTTTTTAGGTTACTTGAGATGCCCAAGCCTGCTTGCATGAGGACAACTAGACCCTTAGTTTGCAGCGGTAATTTGTGAATGCTACTGCAGACACAATTAGAATAATAGAATATTTTGGGTTAGAAGGGACCTTAAGGATCATCTAGATCCAACCCCCCTGCCATGGGCAGGGACACCTTCCACTAGACCAGGTTGCTCCAAGCCCCATTCAACCTGCCCTTGAACACTTCCAGGGACAGGGCAGCCACAGCTTCCCTGGGCAAACTGTTCCAGTGTCTCACGTGATTTTATCACCACGTCCTCTGACTTGAGCCGATACCAAGGATGTGGAAAAAAACCCCATCCCCCTCATTTGTAGGTCACAGCACCTAATAGTGTATCTTTACCAATGATGCTGATAGAACAGACTAACTTGGCAAGCACTTTGCCAAACAGAATTATTGAGCTGTCATAATATTGTAATCTTTTATAAGCAATGTTAAAACTTTGCTAAAGCTGACATGGCTAAAAATATTCATGGAATATTTTCTAAAGAAACAGTTTGGTACTCATTTTTGTTTACATAAGAAGAGTCTAAGGTGAACTGAGGGATTGTCTTTTTTGCTAGTTCATAATTTAAACACAAACATATTCTATTTCCCCCTGTGTTACCAGTGAGGTTTGTCTACAGCAGCTAGGATGGCAATTCACCCGAAGTTGAGCTCGCCATTCAAAATCTTGAGACCTGAAGTGTCTTTCCCTGTGTGTAAGCCGCTTTGCTGACACGTAAACATAAACATTCATGCATGCACACACAGAGACAGCTTTCTAGAGTACATGCTGAACTAAACTATCACTGTTTGCACACTATCAAAGTATCTCTTCTCCTTGTGCCAAGATTTCCTGCTCTATTTTCAGACCTTGCTCAGCAGATGACACTTGCCAGGTGACATATACAAACAGCATCCCTTCCAAAAACTCAGGAAGACTTCAGAACACATGTAGAAACCACCCATCTCCAGGCATAAGCTCAGTTATGAGAACGATTATTTCTGAGCTGGAAGCCCTGATTACCTGATACAGCCAGGAAGTCATCAATGGAAGTGATGTCATCGACAGCATCTGTTAGCACGCGGACTTGCTTCTCCCACTGCTCTTTGAAGAGATCCATATTTTCTTGAGCCAGTTTGCTTTGGGGTTTAGCAGCCAGTGCCAGTGCAGCATTGATGACCTGTAAAACACCTCTGGATTGTTAAAACTTATCCTTCATAATTTGTTTGCATGTGTTTATCCAATGAACTCAACAGCAAACAAAGCAAGTTGAATAAGTTGTCAGGAACTTAATGTTTAAACACGCAAGTGTTTATGCTGTCGCTCTCACATCCAGCTCATACCTGCTTCCACATTTATTATAATTAGTTATAAACATGAACATTTGGCAACTATTCACATGAGCTAGCTTCACCTTTCTCTAACAACTCATGTTATAAGGTGTTGCTTTCTGAGTGCAAGTTGTGTTGTTAAATATTTTAAGACAGGCTGACGTTTCATGCACTGGAAGCTGCAGTTCCCAAGCTACTTGCCAGACCCTGAGAAAAAAAGGTCATAACAGAATAAATCTCACAGTCTGAAGTGGAAACAATATTCAAATAAAACGGAAAGATAAATTTTATATTTATCTTCTTCTCCTTAAAGGTTTACTCTGTGCCAGTAATTGTCACAGTACCTTAAGATTTCTGTCGTGGTTGGCAGAGCTAGGTTAGCCAGGGACCAGGAGAAGACAATACTATTTGGTGCTCCTCCTGAACACTTTCTTCAAACCCTCAAGGTCGTAATTTACTTCAGATCCTTCTGTTTCTAAGCAGAACAAATGCTACACATACTGCTAAGTAACAAAGTTTATGTTGTGCCAACTAATTGGTCAGTTAAATTACAAAAAAAGCCTCTCTGGGTGCAGGAAGAAGCAGTCCCAAGCTCCTGCTCTTGCTGCACGATGCTCCAGCAGAGTCACCTGGAAACATGCCAGGGATAAGAAATCACCTGCAGCCAGACCAGTATGACAATCCTAACCTTGTTTTCAAGCACCTGAGAGTTAGGACTAAAAGTTCAGTGTGTAATTTTTCTTCTTATTTTAGGATCATATTAATTTCACAAAATTGTTGAACAAAACGTGCAAGTTCCAGATGTTCCTACTTTTCCAAAAATCTACTTGCTCTATCAGCTTCACTTAAAAGCATAACAAAGTGTTAAAAAAAAAAAGTAAAAAAAAAAATATACACACATAATGTGACAAACCATGGAAATGATGGTGCTGTCAAACACAACACGATGGCACTGAATGAATCAGGGAGGAGAAGGAGGCTGATTCAATCCAGGGACACTAGAAATTAGCAACGACTAAGGCAAATCCACAAAAAGCTCTCCATGCTGCCATCCTGCCTCTGGAGGTGCAGGCTGCAGCTCTGGGTCACAAATCAAAAGGAGCTCGATGGGTCTAATAACACAGACAGATGAAAGAAATTATTTGGCATGAGCTGCAACCTGGTCAAGATTCCTATGGGGATGAGGCACACCTCTGAACCCTGGCACTAATCAGTGTCCTGGTCCTTCATGGAGAACATAGATGTCCTCTGCTGCTTGCCCCTCCTCAAAGCAGATACTGCAGTCACACCTTCAGTGTGGGGAGCTGCAGGAAAAAGGATTTCCATTCAGAGAGAGACCTGCTGACAGCCAGGCTGTCCTTCAAGATCATGGTTCTCAAGTTCTAAAAGCACAGAAAAAAGCCCTTGCAACACCCAAGAAAATGACGCTGAAAAACCTAAAATCAGATTGAAACAGAAGTTTTAGAAAGGGAAACCTGTCCTCTGCTCAAGAGCTCTACCTCTTAAGTCAAGCTGACACCACTTCTTGCCTCAGTCTGATTGATGTATCTACCTATCAATCAAAATCTAGAAATCCGAAGTTTTATGAAGGTGAATCCAAGTAACGAGTATCCTGGAAACAAAAAGAATAAAACAAAAAATGTTCCAGAAACCTGCTCTCAGCTATATCCTGCCAGTAACCATAACTACTGAGAGAAAGAAGATGGTGATACCAAAGGTCAAGAATATTTTCTCCTCTCTCATCTAGCTATCTTGGCTGGAATCAGATACAAGACTGCGACAGATCAGTGTTAATGTTGAAGGAACATATGGCCTGTGTACCTGTGTGATGGACGTCTGGACAGCAGCAGCTGTCTCCACAATTAATCTTTGTCAACAGCACACATCCAACCCCAGGTGCCCACAGTAGGCAACTCTCCACTTGTAATGGAAGAGCTGTCATAGATACAGGGCTCAAGAAACTTGGGACAGGGCACTGCCACCAAACCCAAGTTCAGGAGGCACAAGCTGCAGCATCGTGCTCCCAACAGGCAGCTCGTCCAACTGAAAAAGGGGAAATTTTTTTTTTTTGCACATTATAACAGCAAAAATGCAAACACGTTTTTTTTAAAAAGGCCAAGCAAAACTGGCATACAAGACCTCCCTTAGGAGCAGACATGTCTTGCATCAAAGGTGAGAACAAACTAGTGGGGAAATGAAAGGCTACTGAGTGTCCCTTTGGAGCTGAAGACAAAACCACAGCTCAGGAAACACCTGCAGAGGTGTGTGCACTCAGGAAGAAATTAAAGAAAGCAGATGCAGCTCACCACTCCTTTTTTTGCTGTATATACTCCAGCTCCATGTGCAAAGCGGTTCCAACGTTTTAGCAGGGGTGATCAGACCCTGCACTCTGCCAAGTGTGCACAGCTTAGCACTGACTTAGACAAGATATCCTGGACATGTCTCACATCTGGTTGGGGCAATGTCAAAACCCTGCAAATTATCTGAGCAAATATGCTCTTACATGATGCCTGGTATCCAGTACTGAATGACTGGTTTATTTTCCAAGAGATGCTGAGATAGACATGGGAAAAGGACAGGGATGCTGTCTCAGTTTGTACCTCATATCCTCTTCTCATGTCTTTCATGGGAGGAAGCTGCCTCTTTTTATCTTCCCTATTGAATCTAAAGATGTTGGACTGGATTTATAGGTTTATACCTCTGCAGAACAACTGTCTGCAAGTTGCCCTGAAGATTGACTTCCGCCTGGGTTACAAGATTGTAGCTACTTTGCCCAGAAGCTCTCTTAAAAAGCACAGCTATTCCAGGACAGAGAACACCTTAACCTGAATCAAGCTCTTTTAGAATCTCAGAATATGTGGGGATGGAAGGGACCTTTAAAGGTCCTCTAGTCCAGCCACCCCTGCAGTGCACAGAGACCTTTTTCACTAGATCAGGTTGTTTAGAGGCCCATCAAGCCTGACCTTGAATGTCTCCAGGGTTGGGGTCTCCACCACCTGGGCAACCTGTTCCAGCTCACTGTTAAAGATCTTCTGCCTGATACCAAATATGAATCTATCCTGCTCTAGTTTAAGGCCATTTCCCCTTGTCCTTTTGCTACACACCCTTGTGAACAGCATCTCCCCAGCTTTCCTAGAGCCCTTTCAGGCAGTAGAAGATACTCTAAGGTTTCCCCAGAGCCTTCTCTTCTCCAGGCTGAACATCAACTCTCTCAGCCTGCCTTTGTAGGATAGCCACTCCAGTTCTTGTCTGGACTCATTTCAGCTCACTTCAGGATGCTTTCCAGTTTCACCTTTATAGCACGCCATCTGAAAGACTGATAGAGGCTTATATGTGGTGGTGTTCCCATAAGAAAGTTTTGAACACTTGGCTGGCACAGCCAAAGGCAGAACCAGCACTCAGGAAAAGAAAACTATCACCTGTTTATTTTGCATTGCAATCCCTATCTGTTAGACATTATCACAGTCTGTCAGCCACACAGCTCTCTGGTTCTGTGGCTATATTTTGCCTCAATCTTTCTGAGAGGGAGTTTTTGCTTTTTACAGGAGGCTATTCTTTCTGTAGCTGGTTTAACTTTGCCCTGGTTCCTGCAGTATTTGTCTCAGGATGGTACTGTACCACAAGAAGGTTTTTCAGTTTCAAAAGATCAAAAACAAACACCCAGTCCTCTCCCCTCTCCTCACCTCTTCTCTACATCCAAAATATCTGCTGTTCCTAAGTAACTCACTTTCTGTTTTTAAATAAAGATCTTCATTAACCAGCTTCCTTGTAGCATTTGGGTAATGAGCTGGAAAGCAGATTCATGACCTTCAAATACAGCATATTTTGCTTTTGAAAACAAAACAAAAAAGCCCTAATAAAACAAGCACCCAACCATCATCTGTCATCTTAGGGGTGAAGGAAAAAAGGGAAACAGGGATACACAAAAAGTGAGCCCCAGCTGGGATGTGAAAATCAGTTTTATTCATGAGTGGGTGAAAAGGAACTTGTCAAGTAGACAGCAGGATCAAATGTCCTTTGGGAGAAAAATCCAAGAGTGAGCTAGTGTAGAAGGAGTTGATCCAAGCTTTGCCTTTAGCAGTAACTTCAGTGCAAGGCTGAGTGAAAGGATTCTCTCAGTCAACCTGCCAAAAACTGGTAATGGCACCTCCGTGTCCCCCTTTGCTCTATTTCATTGCTGCCTCACAAGCACTCCTGTGATACAGAGGGCAAGTTGTCAAGTAGAAGCCAAAGCATGGTTTTTGAATTGCAGCTCTCCCAACAGTCAACACTTGAATTCATGATCTTACCAAAGCTGCCACACAAGCTGAGCCCAGCCAGGAACCCCCTTGCTCACCCACATTTTTCTGTATTCACAAAAGCACAGCTTACTTAGAGGCAGTTTGTAAGAAGCTGCTCATAATTTAATTTTACATATGCCAGATGCCAAAGTTACCTCTCCAATGCTCACCCAGCTCATAAGTGCGTTTTGCTTTGAGTAGGGAAAAAAGGTTCATAAGCAGAACATTTAAGTCTCTTCCAGTTACATCCAACCACAGGTTTGCATCCACATGTCTACATGGGCTAACCCTCTAGCCACTCCAATACAGCAAAAAGCACTCTGCAGACTCTCATCAGCCAAAATGTCTGGAAGCAAAACACACAGACTGTTTTGCACTTTCTCCAGCTATAATGGCAGTATGTAGAGACAGATACACCAAAGGGAGAAGTTTCCTTTCATTTAATTTCCAATACTTTGCTCCAATGTATAAAAAGGTACTTGAACAAGTTACACAAAGTGACTGCAGGCATCTCTGCAGAGATATTTGCTCCTGTTGTTACAGGTCTATAATAACACATAGATACATAC